ACATGAAGAAAAGCTGAATGAGGTAGACAACATGCCATAAAACGGACGTAGCAGACCAAACAAGATTGTAACCTATGATCAAAACAAATGTAAAGCGCACCAACAGTACATAGCACTGTCTAATACAAATTATGTCTTAGTACATAGAGATTACACTTTTGCTTTCTTTCACAGTTTTGTAGTCAGAAAATCCAATACTAGCATTTAATATAGTTTAATAAAGTTTTTGATATTTTACAAACTCTGGTGCAGAGATTGTTTCTTTGATAATTTGGATATTATAAATTTATTTCTAATTATTAAATTTAACATGAGATGGTAACTTAACTGCCTACTTCATAGCCAAATTACTTAATTCCTTAATAATTAATTAACATTAAAGTAACCCAATAAAGAATTTGGCTGTTCAATTGATATTTAAATATTTAAATTAACTATTAGGTTGATTATGATATAACTTATAATGTAAAATATTTTTAATATATATATTGTTACATGTTAAATAATATTTATTACAATTATGATGGGAAAGGTGCGTAGCCTGGAAGGTGGATAGTACCAGATAGAATTTTTCTTCTTTTCTACGATACATGGTATCACCTATTCTATGAAGATAATATGCATACATGGCAATACAAAAGCCATTCTTTTTTCATTAGCATGCTATATGAAACAGCATAACAAGTATCAAAAACATTTTGTTTAGAAAACGAGCATGAAATAATTCAAAAAGAAATCTTTTCATAATTAAGACACTAGTATTTAAAATTAAATTAACTTCAGGCAACTAAACACTATAAGAAAGCATAATGCTGTACATATTTGCTAAAAGTAAAGAAGTTTTCCTCAGCCAAAAAATTTGGAAGCTTTTGAATGCTTCTTGTTCTTTCTTATGTTCTTTAGGAGTAAGCACAAAATTGCTATATAGAACTTATCACATAGGAACACTTTTGATAAATAAAACAGACCTTATTTTGTACCTGTATATGCACTTCAGGCCATTTGGTCCTCTTCAATCCTTATTGTACAAATTGATAAAAATGAAACTATATTTAAAACTGACTGCTGGAGTAACAAAGTATTTAAAGGAAGTAAAACTAATAAAATTGTAAAATATAAAAGTTAAAACTTACTAAAACTTGCAAGTTTTAGCTTTACAGTTTACAGTTTTACTAGTTTGGTGAATATTCTCAGACAGTCCAAGAATATCTGCCTCTCTTTAAGCCATTAATTCCTAATGGCACCTACAGGTGACAAAGTTTTGCAATTTTTTTAAAAATATAAAACAACAAACTAAAAACTAAGAAAACTACCACCAAAATATTTAAAGTAAGTAGTATTTACACTTTTTAATTGGAAACACTGGCAAAAACTCATCTCTCAAAATTTTTCAAATGGTTTTGCAATTTTATGATGTAGGTGTGTTTTACAGTATTTAAACATGAAAAAAATATGACAAAAGAGTAAGTATTAGAATTTTTTAATCATATCTTATTCTTGGAACATTAAGCTTATATTATTACTGTATTATACTAACAAAATAATAAATTATGTAACAAAAATATCAATCTAAAAATAGATGGCTGGCACACCTATTAAGTGGCATGTGCAATTCAAATTGAAGAATTTCATTGTAAAATTATCATTTTACACCTGAAGATGTCTACTGGAAAGTAGATGATTTAATAATGGTTTAATTGCTGGAGTTTGGGTAACACTGTGAGTAGTTTTTTTTGTTTGATATATATCCAGTATTGTGTTATTGTTGTTGTTCATAATATGCTATTTGTACATAAAATAAGAAACACATTAAAGTAATTATATTAATTAAATTATCCACAACCGTGAGGCAGATAATAGTGAGGGTTTATCAGACCAATGATGGGCACAAACGCTCAGGGATCAAAGTGAAAACAATTTAATAAACTCAAAAAATTACTACATAAGTGTGAAAACGAAAACCCAAATGCACTTCGAACTATTTTTTCAATGGAAAATAGTCCCTCATCAGTTGTTTTTTACCATTGATATTTGATATTTAATTAATTCTGATAAAAAATATGAAAAAATTAGCTCCTACACGTTTTTTAAGAATAAAATATTTTTTTCTTTTTTAGTATTCTTCAAAAATTTGTCAGTCACACTCATTTTTTTGAAAGAAAAACTATCAGAAACAAGTTACTGAGATGCTTTCAGATTCCAAAACAGAACTAAATTATCTGGCCAAAAACGGTTAAAAATTACTGTAACATAATGCCATCTATTGGAGAAATAGTGAAATAAACACATAACAGTAGTAAACACATCAAAGATGTTAAAATAAAAATTTCTAGAGCATTTTTCACATTAGCACATGACATATGTCAAAGCCAAAAAAAGCAATCACTGCATACAGACATATGGGATGCAAGAATGACTGAGAAGGGGATAAGAATTATTTTCTGAGTGATCAATAAAAATCAGTTTTAATGAGAATCATGATCCCATGTGTTTCTCTTATAAAGATTACTTTTAATCATTACAATAAACTTTTATATTATTAATTAATTATAATAAATAAAAGTGTGTGGTGCTACTTGTTATGAGATTTTATTAGAAAATAAATTATGTATTAATAACCATTATAAAATGACAAAAGGCTTAATTTTGAGAGCAGAGATGAATTTTTTACAAATTTGTAAATGCCAACAACAAATAAAATTTCCATTAAGTCTGAACCCACATGAGATATGATACAACTCTCTCAAACTTTAACCACTAAAATTTAATAGCATCAATGCCCCTTATATATAAGCTACCATACCAAATTTCATTTCTTAATCTTTATCTCATTCTGAAACAGTTCCATAACCAGTACTGTTGTATTGTACTGTCAAATGGTTGTACTGTACCATTTGAGGAGCAACTCAGAAATGTAGGTAGGCTGCCAGACGGCAAGTTTGAAGAATAGCTTGGGTCAGAAATATGCAATTACAGACAGGCATAAAAAAATATTTGAAGAACTATTAATTATTACAAAATAGCTAAAATTCAAATTCACAAAAGCAAACAAACTACAATAACTGATCTTCCTGTACTACTTTCTAACAGATCTAGAAGTAAAATTTTCTTGACATACATTGCTTAAAATATTCACAAATACCATTTACAAGCAGGCCATTAAGAATATCTCTATTAAAAGCTCCTAGTGTTACATCTTCCTTTCTCTTATATGTCATACTCATGCATTCTGGCATTAGTATTCTGTTGAGTGCAGAAAAAGAATTCTCTATAATGGCAGTCAGAGTCTGCACTTGGTCAGTATTAACTGTCCTCATTTTAGGGGAGATAGCGTGACATTAGTTTGCCACTTAGCCAATATTGAATCGGCTTGACCGACAATTTTAAATCGAAGCTGGCAATCGACAAAAATATTTAAGTGTTGACAAAACAGTTTAAAATATAAACAAAATTTATATTTTAGTTGAAAAAATATTATATAAAATTATTTTTAATATTTAATATGTTTACTTATAATGATAAAATGTGTAAGATTTAACAAGAAGATTCAAACTGTTCTTAAACAGTTCAAATCTTGTTAAACCTGATGCACACCTATGAAAAGGGGTTAAAAACATTTGTTTTTATTTAAACGAATGTTTTCAACCCCTATTAGTCTTGCTAAAAAAGTGTCAGTCATCTTATGATGTTTTCTATGAAGTTAGCTTGCCTAAACCTGCTCTGATGGACTAATTATGCACAGATTTTGGTTACACAGTCGACTACTGGAAGCAGTTGACAATAGGCACTCCACCCTATAATTTAATTTGAATTTTTTAAGCTATATAATAATAATTATTAACTGATTCATAAATTACAGTTTTACTTTGTTTGCAATCATTTTTGAGGAAATTTTGAGTATGTTTGGAGAAAATTTTGTATCCTGAAATATTCTGTGCCAGTTTTTGTAAGTTGCATTGCACCACATTACTTCTTGTTGTCTGCAGACAGCTACACTTCATCAACCATATAGTAAGCAAAAATATCAACAAGATTCCTTGAATATCTTGTTGATTTCTTGTTGATACAAATTTCCTGACTTTCCATGACTTTTTTCAAACACTAATGAAAATCCTTGACTTTCCAGATGCATAGGAACCCTGCAAAAGCCAACCAGCCAGACTAATCCCAAACAAAGGAAAGAATAGACAAAAAAAGTAAGAAATGCATGAAAATACACATCAGTATGCCACAATATATTATAAGTTTAATCACATTGAATTATTTGAATTTGTGAAATTAGACTAGTACAGTAGAGCCTCGATTATCCGACCCCCGATTAACCGTTACCTCGGTTAACCGACCGTCCTAATCGGCAAGTTTCAAATGTCCGCTAGTGATGTGGCACTACAATATTTGGCTATGTCTTGGCTACTTTAATATTATTTTTACGTGTTTTAGCTGGCAACACTGGATCGACCATGAAAGGGAGCCAGTATTTAAACGAGGCTTAATTTTCTAATTTTTAACGATACAATAGCAACGATTATTATTTTAAAAAATATTTGTTAGGCTTAACATCGATGAAAATTCAACGCAAAATAGGTTAATAGCGATATACTAATATACTAATTACATGGGATATAATAATATACTACACTAATAATGGATTTTTCCATACTTTTCGGTTATCCGACTTTTCAATTATCCGACCAACCCCAGTCCCCAATTGAGTCGGATAATCGAGGCTCTACTGTAATTCTATTTTGTTATAAATTAATTTAATTTTGTTGGTTTAAGAAAAACTGTTTGAACTAAATTTTTGTTTATTATTTCACTGTCTATCATTTCTTGATTTATCCAAATTATTGCATTGCCCAAAATGGCAATACAATATTTAATTAAAAGATAATTAATGCGTATGTTAATAGCAAGTAGATTAACACAATTTTTTTATACCTAAAAATTACACCATTATTAAATGTTAATTACAAAGCTAATTAATATTTTAAAATACTTACTTCTTATGCATCAAATTTCGAATGCTAACAGTAACTTTCTCATGAAAACTTCTTAATTTCACTAATTCTCTCATGTGAAGAGCCTAAAATGACATTTTAAAAAATGATAAATGAGAGCATACAAAGAAAAACATACTGTTCATTCAATATTCATCATTAATTTTATGTTAAATATTGTATATTTCAACTCTTGCACATGCAATATGTAATACGATTCAAATCGTTCAATTGTTTGTATTTTTAAAGTTGTTTTCTGTTCTATCATCAGAATCTGATGATGATCTTTAATGCCCCTTATATATAAGCTACCATACCAAATTTCATTTCTTAATCTTTATCTCATTCTGAAACAGTTCCATAACCAGTACTGTTGTATTGTACTGTCAAATGGTTGTACTGTACCATTTGAGGAGCAACTCAGAAATGTAGGTAGGCTGCCAGACGGCAAGTTTGAAGAATAGCTTGGGTCAGAAATATGCAATTACAGACAGGCATAAAAAAATATTTGAAGAACTATTAATTATTACAAAATAGCTAAAATTCAAATTCACAAAAGCAAACAAACTACAATAACTGATCTTCCTGTACTACTTTCTAACAGATCTAGAAGTAAAATTTTCTTGACATACATTGCTTAAAATATTCACAAATACCATTTACAAGCAGGCCATTAAGAATATCTCTATTAAAAGCTCCTAGTGTTACATCTTCCTTTCTCTTATATGTCATACTCATGCATTCTGGCATTAGTATTCTGTTGAGTGCAGAAAAAGAATTCTCTATAATGGCAGTCAGAGTCTGCACTTGGTCAGTATTAACTGTCCTCATTTTAGGGGAGATAGCGTGACATTAGTTTGCCACTTAGCCAATNAATGAACTGCTCTGTTATCTAATGCTCTTTTAATAAGAGTCCTGCTAATATAAAATGTAAGAGAGAAAATCAGGAATATGTGAGAATGCTTTCTTAAGCAAACTGCTTCCTTATCTGATGCTCTGTAAAGTGGACTCACTTGTAAAATGATTTCTTCAATAACACTGATAGTAAGTTGTTCACAGTTCAATAATAATCTGTTGTAAGTTTAAGAAAATGTTGTACTAATTCAAAATTGTAGAAATCTGCATACCACACTGAGATAGTGATAAAATATGACACTGTACAATCGATAACCAGTGCAAAGTACAAGTAAGCAATATAGTATATTGAACAAATCATTATTATACAACTGAGTCCACTTTACAGAGCATCAGATAAGGAAGCAGTTTGCTTAAGAAAGCATTCTCACATATTCCTGATTTTCTCTCTTACATTTTATATTAGCAGGACTCTTATTAAAAGAGCATTAGATAACAGAGCAGTTCATTTAAGTGAGTGCCATGTTGGCTGCATTTTTAGAGCAGAAGTCTACATAAGGAAGGAAGCACTATTCTGAAGAAGGTTTATAAGAGTCTATCTTACAATACACCACCATTAAGGCAGGACTCTCAACACTATGTTATATGTTTTGTGCATATTTGGTGAATATTGGAATACTGTACATTTTTGTATGCTGTAGTTCACCAATGTGCTGTTTGATGCATACTGGAATGTACACATCCACTATATTAGAAGACTAGTTGAAGAAGCACTTAACAAATGGAACAGACTAGTTATAAATTTCATAGACTTTCCAAAGTCCTTTGACTCAATTGATAAAATAGTCTTGTTCCATACCCTCAGACCTTATAGCACTTTTCAAAAAATAGTCAAAATTATTAGTTCTCCCTATACAAATTCAGAAGTGCATGTCTTCATACAAGGAGAAATTATGGTGGGGAGATTTACTGTGTATGGTTAAAAGTAAAACACCAAATGTGTAAAGTCTAATTTTGCATGTATTTAACAATTCACTGTTACAAAAATTTACAATCTTGTAAGGAACCAAGTCCGAGCGTTATTTTTAGTTACTTTTATTTTTGCTTTTATTCTATTTTTGTTTGTGGCTTATGCGTTTGTTAGGACGAAGGTTTCCTCACCACTCACCTTAGAAACTTAAAAATAGAAGAGAAACCAACTCACCGACGAGAGAAAAGCACCATAGGTAAAAACTCGCACACACTTGCGCTCCTGAGCGGAAAAAGTAAGTCCGCACTGAGAAAAGGGGGGGAGACCCCACAAGCACAACTTAGGAACTTGCTAAACCTTAAAGAATAAAACATCCCGAAAATTGTCAAAAAGAATAATGTAAAAGGTTAGCGAGTATTGTCGGAAAATAGACTGCCAGACAAAGTTTTTATTGTTAGCAAATAAGTATGTAAATGAGGGGAGTGATCTCACTCAGAATTGTGATGTCACCTCACAGTATAAAGACCGAATCTCAAGTGAAGATGACCGAGGTGAGCTTTGATCAGCAAACAAGAGAGAGGTGTCTGATAGGATAAAGTAGTTCCAAGGTGATTTTGAAGTTATTCGATTTGTGGATCGAAGATTAGAGAAAGTCTTGAGAGTTGAGGAAAAAGTATATTGAGTGTGACGATTAGGACCTTTAATTCATAAGAATTCTTGTACATAAGTTAAGTCTTTGAATTTTTTGTTGAATTCCAAAGGGGAATAGCTAAGTTAGAAAATAGATTGAGTTGAGTTTTGTCAGGTTGATTCTTATTGCTTTACGTTGAATAAATTGTTATTTGATTTTTACTAAATTTTGTATATCATTATTACTAGAATTTTTATTAAATATTGAATTGTTTTGAATAACTTTGTCATTATTTAATTTGGTGCACGCTTAAAGTCCAGGCCTGGCACATTAACGTAAATCCACGTAAAGTACCCATTAGGTAACGGCATTTAATCGGCACACAGTCGTGTCAATAATCGTTGGAAAAGTCTGAAAAATAATATAGTACTTTACAATCTGAATGCCCAACAAATTCTATCACATTCAAGCATATAGTTTCTACAAACTACTTAAATTTAACTAGAAGAAAAGAAGAGAATGCTTTTTCTGCTTACACAGGGTTATTTGTAAGTCTGTGAAACATTTTAAAAATTTATTATTCATAAACTATACAACAGATAAATATTTATTTCAATATTTAAAAATATAGTATCATCCAGCAAAATTTTAAAATTATTGAAATAAAGGTAAACTCTCCAAGGTCTTTTTACTTAAGTGACAAATGTTAAATGTGACCACCTTTGCTGAAGCAACAGACATCTACCCAATAATCTATTTTCTTCCACACAGTATTAACATTTCAGTCTTTTGTAAAGAATTCACCACAAAGTTGGTTATGAGACAACTTCTAAACTTGCATGTTTAATGGATTTGTGGGGGCTATTTTAATAGGCTTGTTGAACATGATCCACAGTTTGTTCGCTTGGCCCTGGATATCTGAGCATTGCACAGACAGCCTTCATTCCAGAATTTCATATACCATTTCAGGATAGTGTTGTACACAGGTGACTTCTTATGGAATTCTGCTCAAAATCATTGTGGTACAGTCAGAATGGATAAATGTAAGCATGCCGACCCTCACTCCCCAATTGGTCTCTTACCTGTTTCCAGGTAGAATTCAAGACCAGTTCAGGTCAAAAGAAAGGTCTGCCTGGGATGGTTTATCTAATACCATCCTCTTGATTCTGATTGCGATTTATCATTGACTAAGACACCCAAGCTCATATTTTACCTTTGTTTCCTTTTTCCTTATTGTATCTTAAGTTTAAATAATTCCCTTTTTTTATTTTCTTTTATTCTAAATATTGTTTTCCCTTTATTCTTTATGAGCGATAATGCCAAAATCCAGTGTCTATGTCGTGACACTTATATTACTTGTTTTCTCAATGGTTTAATTTAATAAAATATACATTTCCTTTTTAATTATGGACTACTTTCTGGGCCTCACATGAGGTTCCTGAATATTCCAACACAAAATTACTTTTCATGTTTGCTTAGCAATACATTTGATATTATTGTCTCTTATCAACAAATTATGGCAACTATGTGCAATTACTATTCCCAAAAAGAATTTGGAAAGTTTAACTTTACTTCAATATTAAAAATATAGTATCTGTTATATAGTTTATAAATACTAATTTTTAAAATGGGCCTATCCTCCTCCACCCTGTGTTCATAATGAGTGAAAATGACATCTAGGTAACCTACGAGCAAATTTGCCAGCTCTGATTAATCCAACTTAAAACAGCTAGAGAAGTTGGAAATTTTTAAGGCATTATTTGACACAGCAATTAATTATAAGAAGGTATAAACTTTCTCCCATGCTTGGAGATCTTTATTTCATCATCCCTTAACCTAGTTTGACATCATCGACCACGTGTCAGAGGCAACCAATAGCATCATGCTACATTTGGTTTTTTCAAACTCTGTCTTTTATCTTCCAAATTAAGTTATCATCTTTAGGTTGAAAAGTAAATTTGTTGAAAACTTTTGTTTTTATTAAGTTTTTTCTTACACTGCTGGATTTTCTACTTTGGTGAGTGTTTCTGATATTAATACTAAACCAGTTCTAAATTGTTACTACAATGTTAAGATAGCCAATTGTCTGTCAACTATTCAATCCACTGCATTTTGACATACCTAAGCTTAATATTACTTCTTATCTTTGGTTCTTGCATTACTATATCCTTGATGNATGCACCTTGAGGAAGGCCTAACCACTATACAAACCAAATTAGGATGAACATTGTGTGGTCCAAATAGTTATGAAAATGATTTTAACAATTCTTCATTATTAACTACATGCTTGGCCATTACAGAAATGACCATTTGTGGTCTGTGGAAATTTGAGACAATACTACAATGTTAAGATAGCCAATTGTCTGTCAACTATTCAATCCACTGCATTTTGACATACCTAAGCTTAATATTACTTCTTATCTTTGGTTCTTGCATTACTATATCCTTGATGGAACTGAATTGCTACTCAAGTTATAAGTTGCTACAATACACAAAATGCCCATATTCTACCTGTTTATCTTGGCACATGAATTTCTTCACCCACCCTTTATTGTTCATACTTCCTTTTTTTTTATCTTGACCAGTAACAGCACTAAAATTTTCATTCTGGGAGGACTGAGGAAACATTG